AGAAGAGATGAACTGAACACTACAGAATTATAGGAAGTGGTGTTCTTCCTACCCTTGCTTCAAAGTCATGCTCTGCCACATACTGAGAAACTACACAAGCACTGAGAACTGCCACAGGAACTCCACACTCAGTGCGCTGCTACCAAGCTTTAGGACTGGAACACTGTCTCATGTGCAATCGCAAAGAAGTTGTAGAATAAGACTGGCTGGTTAAGAAGGCCATCCAAGAACTTCATTTACTATTAAAAACACTTGATTATAAGCCTGGCAGCTGGTGACTAGTGAAGCTAGGGGATGGAAACCTGGGAGTTCCTTTTTATGATTCTTTTTTAAAAAATAAATATTTTAAATTGTTCTTTAAAAAACTAAAATAAAAAAATATAGCAGGATGGACAAAATGATTCAGCCAAGTTTTGAGAAATTGTTTGTATAGGTTTTACTTGTTCAAAGTGTGCTAACTTTAAATACACACTCATATCAGAGTCTCCAGTCTTCTGACTTATTTGTGCTCCTCGCCTCTGCAGTGTGATAGGTCACTTGGGGTGTGAGGAATTGCTATCACAAGACCTTTTTAGTCGGTCTTGTAACTCTCACCCACATGAAAAAACTCAAGTGATATGTGTCATTGTTGTTGTTATGTGCCATCGAGTCACTCATAGTGACCCCATGTACAACAGCCCTAAACCCTACTCTATACCTTGCCGATCAATTTACTGTCTCAAACACGCCTATCCCCATTACTGCAGTGAATGAAACAATCCTTCTCATCAAGGGTCTTCCTCTCCTGTGCTGTCGCTCCACTCTCCCAAGCATGACGTCCCTCTCCAAGGACTGATCCTGCCTTGCAAAGTATGTCAGACGAAGCTTCAGAATCCTTGCCTTTAAGGAGCACCCTCTCCAGGACGAACTTTTTTGTTCTCCAAGCAATTCATGGTATATTCAATACTCTTCTCCAGCACCAAAGCTCAAAGGCATCAACTCTCCTCCTATCATCCCTAGTCATTTTCCAACTCTCTGATGCAAGAATTAATTTCTCCCTTCGTCTCTCCTGGTCAGGTGGAACCTTTATCCATGTTGTGTTAAGGGATTATTCGATTTATTTAACAGTCATTGGGCATGAAAGGCCATCGGCATAACCAAGGAGAGAGAACAAAGCCAGGAGTGGGCAGTGGGGCAGCAGGCCAGGTGTCTCAACTTTGTTTACCACCAGCCTGCAAGCTCCACTTTGCTTTTTCAGGAGCCATCAATCTTAAAAGGCAGATATCCCAGAGAGAAGAGTAACAAACTGTTAACAATGTTATCTATAGAAACAAAACCCCAGCAAGCCTGTTCACAGCTGTCAGGTCTCCAGAGAACAGTGAGGCCCTGCCTCGGACATGCCCACTGGGATGCAGACAGGAAAGCCTTGCTTGGATAAACACACATGGTCAACATAATAACAATCCACCCGTTCTCCTAAGGTCAGGTCAAGTGTGCCAATTAAATTAGATCATGTTCTCTTTATTTCCTTTCTATTAAGTCAGAGAGGACATTACCAAGAAATATACAGAAATAATCTCTCTTGGTTTTGAATGAAATACTCCCCAGCCCCATTCCAGTTTGATTTCTTATCTTTTGCTGGCTCTCTACTGAAACGCTCTGCCTTGGATAAACTCTGGCATTTCAGTTATTTAAAAACAACAGCAACAGCAAAGAAGCTAGTTTAATCTTAACAAGATAGCTACAGGTTTCACAGGGGGGATTACAAAAAGATTCGAGAACTCAAGATTCCAGTTCTCTTATAAATAATAATAAGAGAGCAGAAGTAAACTGAGTAGGAATAAAGGAGACCAGTTTAGGAGGAAAAACAAGAAGCAAAGTGGCATAGGATCTTCCTAGGTGGTGTCAGGTGCTGCTGAATCTATTCCCATTCACAACTCTACAAGGAAAAACCCACTGCTCTGTCCTCCCTCATTGTTAGGTCTGAGCCCACTGTCACCATCACTACTTCAATAGCCTCGTTCCCAGGATTCCTCTTTGTTTGTTGACCCTCTATTTTATCACGTGTATTCAGAGAGTTGGACAATGACTAGGGAGGACAGAAGTAGAATTGATGCCTTTGAGCTGTGGTGCTGGAGAAGAGTATTGAATATACCATGGACCGCCAAGAAAACAAACAGATTCAACCTTGAGAGGGTTAAGAAGGGACCAGTCCTTGGAGAGGGACATCATGCTTGGCGCCATGAGGGGAAGACCCTCTATGAGGTGGACTGATTCAGTGAGCGGGGTAATCGGGATGGGTGTGTTGGAGGCAATGCGATTGGCACAGGACAGAGCAGAGTTTACTGCTGTACATAGGGTCGCTATGAGTCGCAAGCGACTTGATGGCACATAACAACAACAACAACAATCTCCTTCTCCTGACAATCGTCAAAGTACATGAAACAAAGACTCATCTTTAAGAGTAGATATTTACACCTCATAAAACTGACAAATGTTTATCCTCTCTTTAAATGGACAAGCACCAATGTCTACAAACCTAGTGACTGTTACAGTTGAAAATGTAAAAAAAAGCAAGAAAAATCCAGACTTGTCTACACAAATAAAAAATTTCTGTTTTTTCCCCCCTCTAAATACTAATCTAGGCTTAGTGTGTAGGAAGTTGCATTCCCAGGACAAAGGCAGTCAATTTGAATCCCTCGGCGATTGTGTAGGCAGACTCCTCCCATGCGATCTACAGTCTCTGAAAAACTGCTGATGGTCCCAACTTAATCTTTTAGTAATTGTCATATTAACAAGCCCAATCACAGAGACCAAATTAGACCAGAAAGGAAATAGAAGCTAAAGGGATTCACCTGAAGCAATCCACCTTACATTCTAAAGCTATGGTATAGATAAATCCTTCAACGCTTAAGACAAGACAGTTCTTGTATTCTATATCTTAAATGGTATCTATTTACAGATAAAAATGGAATTAAGAGTTAAAAGTTTCAAAATCTACTAGCTTTGTTTCAAGCCTTTTCAATCTTCTCCTAATGTGTATTTGTCTTAAAACAAAATACACATTATGAAAAAGGACCAGTTAATACATAATAGTACAGTTAACTCTTCATAATAGTTAATTTAACAAGTATCCTTTAATCACAGAAATCATAGAAGGGCAACCCACAGTTATCTGATGATGAACAGAAATGCAATGACAGCACTTATATTTGTTTATACACAAAGACTGAGCTGCTGAGTTTTACAGCAGATCCTGGGGAGACTTAGCCAATACTCACTTATAGTCAATTTCATGGCAAGAGAAAAGATTTGAAATGGAATTGGCCTTCAGAATTTGGCCATTATGTAACAGTCCATTTATGTACGTTCTGTCAAGTTTAAAACTCAGAGAAACAGGCTGTTCAAGAAGGGTTTCCAAATACCAGCAACTAAAGGCTCACCTGCTCATTTCCAAATCTCCACACCTCCTTGCCCATTTTTTAACCCTTGGAAATCCCAACACTCTGAAGGACACCTGGAAAATTGCTATCCTAAGAATAAAAGAAAGTAAATCCATAGCCAGTGAGTTGATGCTGACTCATGGTGACCCTCCATTGGATCCACCATCTTTCTCCTGTGGAGCAGCTGTGAACTTGAACTGCTGACCTTTCAGTTATTAGTCCGACATTCTGTGACCCGGGCTCTTTATTCTAAACACAGAAGGAGGAATGGATAAGAGCTCTATTGCTAAGCTCTCCAGTTTGTTTTTAAGAAAATGGCAGGCTGATGCATGGGAAGGATATATGCTGAGGCCTGATACTTGTATAGCTCACTTCTCTGGCCTCCCAATCAACTTTCTCATGAGTCTAAAACACAGTGCCCAGTGTATTCTCTCCAGCCAGAATCCTTGGGCTAGAAGGAAGGAATATGGACTTTGGAAGAGAGCTGGCTGAGTTATGTGCCCACAAAACACCACCATCAGCACATATACTCCATTCCATGGTGGTTACCATTTTGTTTGCTTGACACTCTAAAAATTAAAGTTTAAAAGTTCATCAATAAAGTTTCTCCTACTATTAAGAACAGTCTTTAGAAATCTCAAAAATGTGGATGAATGATCTCTGAAATGTGACTCAATAGTCATCTTTGGGTGCTTTTATTACAAAATTTTCATTTTCTTCTTTTTGTTTAGGAGCCCTTGCTGGCACAGTGGTTAAGCACTCGCCTGTTGACCAAAAGGTGGCAGTTCAAATCCACCCAATGCTCTGTGAGTGAAGGATGCGGCAGGCTGCTTTCATGAAGCGGTACAGCCTTGGACATTACGGCGCAGCTCTGTTCTGCCCTGTCAGGCCGCTATGAGTCAAAATCAACTCAAAAGCAACAGGTTATTGCTTTTTTAATTTACACACACACACACACACACACACACACTTTATACATAGTCTGTGTCCTATTTCTTTAGTCTAATTACTATAATTCACTCATGACTCTTGCGTAGGTTTTGATTCATCAGAAGGTAACGGCTCTAAACTGTATTCAAGACACTCTTGCTTCATAAGACATCCTACCTTTTAGGAAGTCTTTATAAATGTACCTAAACGAAGATTTTTTTCCTTCTCTTTATACACATTCTCCCTCTCAGAAGGCTTATGAATTTCTCTACAAAGTCACTATAGTTGGTATACAGATGAAAAGATGTCAAATACAGCAAACATCTGGCAAAGGGCACCTTATCTTCTCACTATCAGTTTTAGCACAACAAGAGATCTAGTACAACTGGCATGAATCTAAAATACCAGGATCAGGATAACAAATATTGGCTGCAGGGTCAACCTGTAAATTTAAGCATGCCAATGGTGGTTAGAGATTCCAAGAGCAAACCAGGTTCTTGGATTTTTTTTCTAGAACAGTTAATGGGCCCAATTACTGAAAACTCCCCTACCCTAGGGCAGCCTTCTACTCCTATCTCTTAGGAGGTAAAGAGTATAGGAGACCTCAATCTGCTAATTATTAAGTTTATATTATCTAATTAAGCTCACCTTTGTGGCCATGGTCTTCACCCCATGAATTCTCCACTCTCCATTTCACAAATGCTCCCTCTTCATCATCCTGCAAAAGAACCATGTATAGTCTGAAACTTGGCTCTCCTTATGGAGAGGTCACCTGGCTGTGCTATAAAACCATGATACACACAAACAGGGATATATACTTCTGACTTTCACTAAAGGGGACTATGGTGGCTTAGGAGGTAAAGAACTGTACTGTCAGCCCAAAAGCAGCTGGTTTAAATCATCAGCTCCTCCTTGGGAGAAAGATGGGCAATCTCTTCTCTTATGCTTTACAATGCTGGAAACCCCACTGGCCTGAAAACCCACTGGAGGGTCAGCTATTAGTCGGTTCTGATTCCACAGCAATGAACTGGTTTTGGATGACTCTCACTAAAGGGATACTTTTGATAGATGTGGAGTTTTAACATTCTGGGGATAAAAATGTAATAAAGCTAATAAATGAATAAATACTATCTCCTCATTAACATTTTTTGTCCTATATAGAAAATAAATATGCTTAAAGATGCTATTTGGCTAAGGAAAATGAAATACTATATTAATAAAATAGTGAGTACACATCCACACAATAGTGAATTATTTGAAGACAGAGGTTCTTGTTTTTAAATTAATCAGCATTCTTTGCAAAAGCATCCACTGTATTTATATATGGAATGATGAGGAACTGTGGTGAGAGTTTGCTGTTTTTTCTTAAGTTATATTTTTATCATGCTGTCTATTTTTTAAATTAGGAAACTAAGTAATGGCATTCTCCAAAATGTGTTCTTTTACTTATTCAGTTACAAGAGGATGGAATTTAATACAACACAGACTAAATATTAAGGCAAAAGAACATCTTAACAAAACAAAAACTAAGCAGTTCTACTGTTCTCTTTTATCCCTAGTAAATAAGTTCAATTTTTATCTTTTTAAAGGAACAGTGATCTTACTGTGAAGTCTTCTTTTAGAGATTTTACTGTACTGATACAGAGAAGGGTAAAGTGGCAGCTTCACTTGAGAAAAGACTTTTCTTTTTCATATTTACCCAGGGCATTTGCAGTTGTCAAAACAATTACATTTTTGTGGCATAGAAACTTTTCCTACATCATTTCCTAATGATTTCATCAGCCAAACCTTACTAGCATGTAATTGCAGGACAAGACTATTCTACATGGAGTTGACTCTTTTCGGCTCTGCTGGCTTGAATACTTTACTCTTGGCAGCTTTGCTGGATCTCAGTCATAGCCAATATGCTATGACTCACAGGTCTTAAAACACATTACTTTTACTCCTTAATTTCAGCTCCAGGAACACTCACATTCATGTCATGGATACATTCTGAAGGTAACCTATTAAAGGTCTAACACTCCTAAAGTATTTTTTCTTCCCTTTTAAACATCACTTGTAGATTCTGTATAATCTACAGTCACTTACTTATTACAAGTACAAAAACTTTGCTATTATTTCTTTTGTCCTTTGAATGAATTTCTACTTAAACTAGGTCAAGTCCTCCATGTCACCTACAAATTTGGGATGATAATACTTGGCCCTTCTTCCTAGCTGCTATTTCAAAACTGTGTCCTAGAAATGATGACATTAATATTCAGAATATTACATAGAAAATCCAAATTATAATTTCTTGAAACCATGCAAAAATCCAGAAATTAACATGAAGTCCTTAAATTACAGTTATTGCTATTTTACCAGAGAAGAATCTAAATGACAAATGGAAAGTCTTAATATAAGTCATCAAGTTATGCACACTGCTAACACCTTTCCATGCATGGCATACTTTAACTCCTTAAAAAACAGAAGTTAGCTTTCCTCACATAGCTTTGCTTAGCTCTTCACATAAAGAATTTGCAAAGTTACAGAAGCAGTTAGTTCCTTACTCCCTGGAACCTAAATTCCACATCTCATGAAAAATTCCTATTTTTTTATTACTTCTGAGCATGCAGCCAAACCTCAAGTGACGCAAGTATAATGTCTTGCTTGGAGGCTGGCTTTTAACAGAAATCATACACGTTACACATGAAGCTGTGCTGGGTAAACAGTCTGCAAGAGAATGTGGATCCATCGGTGAAAACACTAGCAGGCATGCTAAGGGTCATACCTTTTCCGAGAAAGCAGTGAAGGTCATGGCGTGGGTCATCAGTGACTCACCAAATGTCAACCTCTCAGCTTTGCTCATGTTCTTCAAGGAGACACCAAACACCAATTCATGATCATAACTGTAAAAAGAATAAAGGTTCAAAATAAAGGGAATATAGTATCATAGGGGAAACTGCCTTCAGTTGTAAAACAAACACCAAAGAAACTGAAGGGGTGCAACAGCTCCAGATAAATCAGCAGGGGATCCAGTTACAACTCTTTAGAGAAAGAATATAATACGGCACATATAAAATTTAGTATATTAGTGTGATTACATTCTCAATACAGCACAATACTTTTGCAGAAAACATAAACTTACTAAACACAATAAATTCCTTCTACCAAAAACTAATGAGTTTGCATTATCATTTTGGCGAGAAAACCTACTGAAACCCTTACAATAATGAAAGCCACTTGTAAAGAAACTTCTTTAAAAAATAGTCCCTTCTGAGCCTGCAGAACCTCCTAGTTTCTGAATTCATTTAGACAACAGCAAAAATGCAAAAAACAGAGGACACTTCAAAATTAGTAAGAACGACTCACTAATTCTCTTTCAGTAGTTTTCTTTCTCTCCTGTTATTAATTTAAAAAATATGTATTCAACATCCTACGTGCACTTGATACAGGCCATAGTCTTTGCGATCATTTGCTATGCATCAGAGTGCTGGACAATGTCTAGGGAGGATAGAAGGAAAATTGATGCCTTTGAGCTAAGGTGCTGGAGAAAAGTATTGAATGTACCATGGACTGCTAAGAAAATGAACAGGTTCATCCCGGAGAGGGTTAAACCAGGCTGCTCCTTGGAGGCAAGGGTTCTGAGGCTTCATCTGACATACTTTGGACATGCTGTAAGGAGAGACCAGTCCTTGGAGAAGGACATCATGCTTGGGAGAGTGGAGGGACAGCGCAAGAGGGGATGACCCTTTATGAGGTAGATAGATTGAGTGACTGGTGTAACTGGGGTGGGTGTGTCGGAGACAGTGAGATTGGCACAGGATAGAGCAGGGTTTAGGGATGTTGTACATAGGGTCTCTATGAGTTGCAGGCAACTTGACAGCACATAACATAATAACAACAAGAAATAATGACTTATATACATACCAAAGGCAACCAAACCCACTGTTGAACTGATTTCCACTAAAGGAGATACTTTCCTGGGTTTCTGAGGCTCTAAATCTGAGTGAGATTGTCTCATCTTTCTGCCAAGGAGCAGCTTCTGGGCTCTAACTGCTGACCTCTTAATTAGCAGTTATACAACCGGGCTCCTTAATTACTTCTTGTTCAGTGTTGTCGAGTTGGAACCAACCCATAGCTAACTCTCAGAGTTTTAACTCTCAGGTTTTCAGAGGTAGTAAATCCATGCGAGATGACTGCCTATCCTTCTCCCGCAGAATAGGTGGTGGATGTGAACCACGTGCCTTTGGGAATGCAAGTGCAACTTCTTACCACCAGACCACCAGAGCTCCCTCTTTAATAATTTATAAGGTATTAATTAAAATATCATTCAGGTAGTAGATTTTAATAGTCAAGGAATCTTGAATGATTTAGAAAACTTACTTCATTGTCATAAACAATCAGGATAACTACTTTAAAATGACACATGCATCAACCCCAGCCTGTCCTAAGACTTGAAACATAAAAGTCACCAAAGTATAAGAAGCCACTTAAGGAGGATCAAAGAACAAAAACAAGCTCTAGAAAGTCTCTCATTGCATTCCCAAAAGCACTGAGCAGATTTACACAACAATAAATTATTTTTACATACGTCATTTTCACACAGAATGGCTTTCAAGGGACCCACAAATATTTCAACCCTGACTTCTCCAGTTAAAAGCACTTAACTAGATGGGGTTTCTACTATGAATCCAAGAGGAGAGAAGGAATGTGAACTATCCCCCGGATCATCTTAATCTGTGGCTGAATCTCAGCAGTTATTTCATACCAAGCCTATCAACACTCCAACAGCAACACCCTGCAAGTGACTTTCTAGTTTCAATTTGTTTGTACTCACACATTCATGTCACTGAGGCCCAGCTTGCCATTGAAGTGTTTTCCAACGTCACAGCCAAACCACACAGCCTAGAACAGAGGAGAAAGGAAGTTCACGTAAACTCTTCTCACACACCAAAGAAGTCAAAGAAGGCTTTAACCCAATGGGAAAGACACAAAACAATACCAACCTCTCCATCTTTGATGGAGGCAGCAACCATTTTTTTCAAGAAGTCAATAGGCTGGTTGTTATACAGAGTTTTTCTCCCTCCAACCATATTGCTTAAGTAGTCTACTGTGTAAAGTTTGTTGTACTTGTGCTGGGGCCGAGGGTCATTCACTAAACAAATCTATTGAGATCAAGAACATGCTGATTAGAATATAAAACAAAGAATATCAAGCAAGACACACATCTCTACTTTACGTTTCTTACTGCATCAGGCTCATTATCTCTGCCTTAAGCATAAAGCAAAGGGGGCGGAAATAAGAAAAAGAATAAAGCAAAACAGTGACACTGCTGCATGACAAAGAAACCAAAGGCAGGGCCCTGCTTGAATCAATAACACAGATTTAACATCCAACAGTACCTTAAGGGAGTTGGGATTTCAATCCTACAACAAAAGTTCTTTGCATAAACAAGAGTGAAACCAGTAAAGGAAAGAGGCTTTGGCCATCTTGCTAGGCAGTGGGGGCAGTCTGAAGAAGGTAAGAACAGCTAGGGTACCGTACTGCCTTGTTCTCTGAGGGAGCTTCCAAAGGGGCCCACAGGACAGAGGTGCTCAGAATCCATGGTAAGAAACCCTCAATATGCTTTCACTGTCTTTGCATCTATGAATGGTTCTAGACTCAAAGCAGGGAAGCAGCTGGAAAGTGAACTGACAGTTGTCCTAAAATTAGAAAAGGCTCTGAAGAGGAGCATTGAGGAAAAGTGGCAGATCCTGATATGGCCATCTTTATTAGGTATATAAAGTATGTAGCGAGGAAGGGAAAAACAAGTTTGCTTAGTGTCTAATTTGAAGGTCAAGTACATGAACCCAGGAAGCTTGCTCCAACAGGTATTTGAAAGTAAATGGCAAGTAGCTGCCAGAATAATTCTCCAACCTTATCCTCCATATTGAAGAGAGGTTTGACATGTTCTCTGTAAAACTCCAAAGGTGTTATGGGGCCAATCTTCTGGTAATTTTTATCTTTGTCACGATACTCCCAGGTGAATGTCTCTGGAGGATTACCAAAACAAATGCATACCACTCGGAATATCTGGAAGAGAGGAGGAGAACAGATGAGTAGTGGTTAGGAGAAAGTATGATTCTTTACCGTGTCATTTTCTCCAAGTTTGAGAAACAGGAAATAAGTGACTGAACCCAAACCAGAAATTTCACAGGAAATCAAATCCAAAAATTAGAAGGTTGATGGCTAGGATTTGTTAACAGTAAATATGTGAGTCCTCAAATAAACACTCTGAACAATGCAGTCCTGTAATGTTAATATTTACTGATAAGTATTTGCCCTGCTAATGAAACGTCCTTAAAAGAAACCACCCATCACTCATACCTAAGTAAGATGTGGGTTGCTACTCTATTGATTATTTTCCAGCTGACAAATAATAACATATATTTTCTAAATAGATGTCCTTTCGTTTGTACATCTAGGCAACCTTTGATTGTGATAGGTATTAACTTTTCAGTTACAACTTCAGTGACAATGCCTGTTAAAAGTATTTAGAAAAGGAATAACTTTCAATAGTAAGCTACCTTTTTTAGGGGGCTGAAGGAAAACACCACATTTTCTAATGATGTTACACTTTCAAGTTAGCCTCATATTATTCTAATTTTACAGAAGGACAAAAACAGAGGTAGGAAGATACATGCTTTGGACATCACCAGACTATAGAAAGTATTCTTTCTCCTGTGTCAATTTTTTTCTCTTTTTTAAAAAAGAAGCAACATTAGACTTTATTTCTTCTTTTTCCAGTTTCCTTAACACCCTGATCCAATCTTATTATTTATCACCTATATATTTTATGTTCAAAATAAATGGATCTTTTGTTTAGTAAATGTGTCTATTTTGTGCTATATATTTTATGTTCAAAATAAATGAATGTTTTGTTTAATAAATGTGTCTATTTTGTGCTAGATATCACTGTTGTACTACTGAGCCTCCACAGACTGAACCTCTAGGAGATTTTTCAGTCTATAAATTGCATAAAGGGATCCTTCTCCTGCATATTTCTGCTAGGTTCGTATATTTCTCTTAAGACTTTCAAAGTATAATTTACCTTCTCCCCCCTCTCTCCACCACCGCAAGGGAGGACGGACTGAGATTCAAAAAGCAAGTAACCAGGGAGCTCTGGTAGCCTAGTGGCAAGGAGCTGTGCTGCAATCCAGAAGGCGCGCAGTTCAAATCCACCAGAAGCTCCACCGAAGAAGGAAGGGCAATCTCCTCCTGTGCCAGTTGGATCTGATTCAATAATGGTACACACACACATCCACACACACAAAGGGAAGTAATCTACTTAAGGTCACATGGGTAGTAAATGACCTCTTTACTGAGGTAAAAAAGGTCAAGAAATAAAACCAAAACTAAAATCAAATAAATAGTATTTATTTAATCCCATGAATGTGGGCTTAAAATGAGGATATTTACTGACTAACCCTAGTGACTGGAACATGAAATGTGAGAGCCATGAATGTAGGAAAATTAGAAATTGTTAAGAAAGAAATGGAATGCATAAATATTGACATATTAGGCATTGGAGAGATGAGATGGACTGGCATGGGGCATTTTGAG